GGGCTGAGCTGGCCACACACACAAAATAAATGAATGAATGAATAAATAAATAAATAAATCTTAAAAAAAAAAAAAAAAGACCTCACTTCAAAAAGAACAAATAACAGCAAACTGGTATGGCTTCCCTTCATAACATTATTTGTATAGACACTGTCTTTCCAATATGTTAGTTAGGTTTACCTGTAATATGAATTTTCTAAAATACAATGCAGTTAATTAACTTGATGAAGACTTTCTTTATACTTTTTCATATAATTTCATTCCTAAGGTCATTTTCTTAAGTACAATGAAATGTCATTTCTTGATAAATTTACAGCACACAAGTAAGGCAGTGAAACATTTCTAATAGCTAATGAGACTAACTTCTAGAATGATTTCTGACACAGGATTCCTCCTTGGTCAGTCAATGAAATAAAGCTCAACTGCTTTGGAAGGTTCCTGAGACTCACTGCACTCACAGGCTCCCTCTTCTCCATGAGTGCAGATAGGAGAGTGCTTGCCTGCTGAAATCTCCCCTTCATAACTTCACATACAAAACCTTAACTGACAGTCTGACATACAATGGGATGTGACCATTATGACAAGATTTACCATACTGCATTTCCTAAAGCAAATGTGTGCATCTCTTAGGTTGACTTGTGTCCTCCTAGGGCCTTGGTCCTGTGTGAGTTCTCTGGTGGTTAATAAGCTGTGACTTCTGGGAGAAAGCTCTCCCACACTCATTGCATTGATAAGGTTTCTCTCCTGTGTGAATCCGCTGATGATTCACAAGTTGTGACTTCTGAGAAAAGGCTTTCCTACACTCATTGCAGCTATAAGGCCTCTCACCTGTGTGTGTCCTCTGATGTGGAATGAGGTGTGACTTCCGAGAGAAGGCTTTGCCACATTCCCTGCATTTGAAGGGTTTCTCTCCCGTGTGTATTCTTCGATGATTAATAAGACTTGATTTCTCTCTGAAGGTTTTTTTACACTCACTGCATTCATAAGGTTTTTCTCCAGTATGAGTTCTCTGATGTCTAATTAGCTCCGACTTCTCAAAGAAGGCTTTTCTACAAAGACTACATTCATAGGGTTTCTCTCCAGTGTGAATTCTTTGGTGAGTGTTTAACTGTGACTTCTGGGAAAAGGCTTTGTCACAGTCCCTACATCCGTAAGGTTTTTCTCCTGTGTGAGTCCTCTGATGAGTTGCAAGACTTGACTTCTCACCAAAGGCCTTCCCACATTCAGTGCATTCATAGGGTTTCTCACCTGTGTGTGTCCTCTGATGTGATATGAGATGTGACTTCTGACAAAAGGCTTTTCCACATTCACTGCACATGTAGGGCTTTTCTCCTGTATGAATCCTCAGATGATTAGTGAGGCTTAACTTTTCACTGAAAGCTTTCCCACATTCACTGCACTCATAGGGTTTCTCCCCTGTGTGAGTTCTCTGATGTCTAACAAGCTGGGACTTTCTGCTGAAGGCCTTTCCACATTTACTGCACACAAAGGGCTTCTCTCCTGTGTGTGTCATCTGATGCGATATGAGATGTGACTTCTGGGAGAAGGCCTTTCCACACTGCAGACATCCATGAGGCTTTTCTCCCGTGTGGGTTCTCTGATGATTGATGAGGCTTGACCTCTCTCTGAAAGCTTTCCCACATTCCCTGCATTCATATGGTTTCTCTCCAGTGTGAATTGTCTGATGTCTAATGAGTTCTGATTTCTCAAAGAAGGCTTTTCTGCAATCACTACACCCATAGGGCTTTGTTCCTGTGTGAGTCCTATGATGTGTTACAAGCTGTGACTTCCTGCTAAAAGCCCTACCACATTCCCTGCACCCAAATGGTTTTTCTCCTGTATGAATTCTCTGATGATTAATGAGATTTGACTTTTCACTGAAGGCCCTCCCGCACTCAGTGCATCCATAGGGCTTCTCTCCGGTGTGTGTCCTCCAATGTGATATGAGATGTGACTTCCGGGAAAAGGCTTTGCCACACTTACCACACTCATAGGGCTTCTCTCCTGTGTGTGTCCTCTGATGGGATGTGAGCTGTGACTTTTGAGAGAAGGCTTTTCCACACTGGCCACAGTCAAAAGGTTTCTCTCCAGTATGAGTTCTATGGTGCGTGATGAACTGTGACTTCTGGGGAAAGGTTTTCCCACATTTACCACAGCCATAAGCGATTTCTCTGATGTGTCTGCTCTGATGTTTAATGAGGCTGGATTTCTTGCTGAAGCGCTTTCTACATTCACTGCATTCATAGAGTTTTTCCCCTAGACGAGTCCTGTGATAAATGACAATCTGGGACTTTTTATAGTTAATACTATCACACTTATCACACTGATAGTATTTTAACCAAGTATCAACTTCCTGAGGCTTGGTATTAAGAAATAATTGATCAAATACATTAAAGCCATCTGAGTCTCTTCTTTCACAGTTTGCTTCTGGGATTAGCAAATCTAAATTATGTTCCATAATCAATCCATCTAAGTCATCTTCATTGTTTGACTTACTTAAAGGAACAAAATCCATGCTGACAGAGAAATTTTTTCCAAACACATCCCACTCATGACATCTTCTCAAACTTCTAGGTTGGTCTTGGTTGTTCTGTTGCCACGTTATAGGATCATGTACTTGCCAGACTTCTAGAATGGAAACAGAAAACTGTTTGGCTGTGGTTCATGGAAAACACCTCAAATGCTATACAGAGGATCTAACTGCTTGTTAGGGATTAGCTTCTAAGCATCAAATAAAACAAGTAGAATGCCTATCTTCCACATATTGAAAACAAGCAGGAAGCTCGATGTGGATAAAATATCTCTGGATGTTAACAGACAAAAGCTTATCAAAGAATACCAAAAAACCACATAATTAGCAATGAGGAGTACCACATGGAGGCAAAAGTAAGCCCTGGTCCAAGGCTCTAGAACATGCAAATCTAGCATTAATTGCATTCACACACTCCAGGCAGCACAACTACTGCACAAAAGAGCAAGAAACTTACATGTCAGTGGAGAAGACTGAAAATAGAGTATTTGTTAAAAACAATAATAATAATGAATAACAAAGCTGATATCACAGTAAGGACTAGGAAGAAAATGAACAGACTAGATACAGTAATAGGCTAAAACTACTTCAAGTTTAAAGAATAAGAAATATTTGCATAGTTTTTCCATTCTTAGGTTTATGAAAGTTTCGTTTCAATTGCACTAAATCTCCCACATTAACTTCATACAGCATTGGGGCTGGGGAGATGGCTCAGTAGAATAAGCACTTCCCAGGCAAGTGCAAGGGTCTAAACTCAATCCCCAGTTCCACCACAAAAAAAAAAAAATTCATACAGCACTTATCAAAACATATCTTCTTTCATGATAACTGTTCAGGCACAGATCTTTTAAATAGAGGTGAACACTCACTAGAAGGACCCAAGACACATGGTCCAATGGGGAGAAGTAGATATGGTCAGTTCTCATCAGGTCTACTTCCATCGATCTCACAACATAACCACTTCTTTTCATATTATAAGTGTTCTTCAAAAGCTCCACTTCCTAATAAAAACTTCTACTTGGAATATTTTCTGTTGTCATACCTAGAAGTCTGAAAGATAACTAGTAATGTGAGCACTTTTGCAGACTTCAATATCCATGGAGGCAATATATTTCTGGGAAATGCTTAACTCATTGAGCCATAAATGCCTCTATGACAGAACAATCAGCCAGACTTGATGGTGATCTGATGTGGACAGAACAAGAAAAGAATCAAAAGTAATAGCAAGGTATGGGACTGAACAATTCAATGGATTATGGTGTTTATTACTGAGCTGGGCAAGAAAGAAGTCTGGAAGTTAAATTGAGACTCCACTGCAGATGCATCAGTCTTGGGAAATATGTGAAGACTCTGAAGTTAAAAATATATATATATACCAAGAAAAAAAAATGTGGGAACAGGTGGGTGGAATGGCACATGCCGATGATCTTAGCTACTGAGGAAGCTAAGGAAAGAGAACCACATCTTCAAGGTCACCTTGGTAAATTTAGTGAAGTCCTGTCTCAAAATTTAAAGAAAAAATGTGTTATGTATAGCAGTTGGGGATGTAGCTCAGAAGTACAATGCCCATGAGTTCAATTCCTAGTACTGTGAAAGACACAAAAAGAATGAGACAGAGAGACAGACAAAAGAAGGAAGAGAGAAAGAAGAAAGGGAAAGAGCAAAAGAAAGGAAAATAAGAAGGAGAAAGCAAGACGGAACTGCCTTGTACTTGCCATCTTTATTCTATCCCAACATATGTCTTCATTACGATCTTTAATTCTCTTTTTGCTATAGTCTAATCTATCATATTATCTAAATTATCTTTCATTTTTGCTTTTGCAATACTTCAGATTGAACCTAGGTTCTTTACATTGAGCTACATCCTTAGCATCTTTACTTCAGTACACATGCTTACTAAGCTGCCAAATTCCCACGCTGGGCTCCAACTACCAATCCTCCTGCTTCGTGTTCCCAGAATGTTGAATCACACACATAGCGCACCATACCCAACCTAGAGAGATACCTTTCTAATTAATTTACTGGCTTCCATTAAATTTTCTGCTCTGCAATCAGAACTTTTAAAAATTCAAACCAGAAATCTTGCTTCTATTTAAACTACTTGAAGTAATTTTAACCATTTCTCAAGCCTACAAGTGTAGAGAAACTGATTCCCAGCCTACCTTTCTTGGGGTCTCCAGCACTTAGGATCCCAATCACATGGGCTACCTATCTTTCAGTCAAATTTCCTTAAAGTCACTGCCTATTCTCATTTTCCTCATCCATAGCTTTCACTTCTTATGGAGATGTTGTCCATCAGTTTTTCACACTGCTTGCTCATTTCATATTCATTATGCCTTTTTTTTTTTTTTTTTTGGTTTTGTTGATACAGTATATTGGCATGTTATATAAGCTGCTCTTGAACTTACTACATAGCCCAGACTGGCCTCAAATTCACAGCAATCTTCCTGCCTCAGTCTCCTGAGTGCTAGGATTACAGATGTGTCCCATCATATCCAGTTCATTCTTTACATCTACAATTGGCTTCTCTTCCACATTATTTTTTTATAGACTAAATGTGTATATCCCTTCAAAATTCCCATGTTCAATCCTTAATTTCCAGTGCGTCTGCATTGGGAAATAGGGCTCCTAAGGAAGTAACTAAGGTTACATCAGTGGGCAAGGAAGAGAGCCTGATCTGAGAGTCTACGCAGAAGAGACCCAGGAGTGTACTCTCTCCCCACAAACACTCAGAGATGAGGCCACATGAGCACCAGCAAGCAAGCAGCTGTCCACAAACCAGAAAACTGATTGTTCCATTTCCTGACCTCCAGAACTATAAAAAGTAAATTTGTTTAAGGCATTCTGTAGTCTTTTGTTTTGGCAGCCTGAGCAGACTATTATTCTCTATTATATCATACAATTTATTTTTGTCATAGTACTTATCAGGGTTTGGCTATTTTCTTGGTCACAGGCTAACCTGTTCATTTTTTTATCCTCTAACTAGAAAGCAGGCACTATAGGGTACGAGTCTATCTCTCTCGTGCCCCCATTGTACCCAGCACAAGCCTAGAAAACAGAAAATATCAGTACACATTCAATGCAGAGTCAGCAGCAGCTGCCACAAGAGAAAAGTTGCCCACATTACCCTCAGATAGTGTCTGGGAACTGGGGATCTGGCACTGCTCCTATGAGTTAAGAATGTACACAAACTTACAACCTCCTTCTAGGGGTTGATGGTGGGTAAGAGGCAGTGGACCTACCCAGCCCATGCAGGCAGCAAGTTGCTGATGGGCTCCCCTGGGAAGACACTCAGACAGGTATCACTATGCCCTGCACAAAGAGGTTGCTACATTGTTTCTTCTAGATATTCTGGGTTTCTCCTAAGACTCAGATGAGTAACCTCACTGGAACATGGAAATAAATCCCAGAAAGGGCCGGCAAGATAGCTTAGCAGAATAAGCACCTGCTTAGGCAACTGCAAGGATCGGGGTTTGATCCCGGCACCACATATCATGCTGGCCCTGCCCAGAGCACACTGAGCTGGCCATTGAGAACAGATGTGGTGCCACACGCCTATAATCCCAGTACTGGGGAGGCTGAAAGCAAGAGAATCACTATGAGTTCAAGTTGTGTAGTGAGATCCCATACCAAATACATTTAAAAATAAATAAATAAATAAATAAATAAATAAAACCCAGCTACAACATTTACATGCTGAGTCCAGGAACTCTTCTTGTGACTCTTCTGCACATGGGGGTGATCTTGGAGACCTAACACATAATCCCAATTTGTATAACTAACTGGGATTTGCAACTTCCTTGCAATGAAAGATGAATGCTCAAAAAGTTTAAAAGCTTAAAACTACAAGCATATCATTCAATTCAATTAGCTTTTGGTTTCAGATCTAAGTAACCAAAATCTGGGAAAAAAAAAAAAAAAAAACAACAGGAAATGTGATTCACGTCTTGGCTACAAAAAGCGCTGCTGAGAAGGACCGGCCAGATAGCTCAGCAGATTAAAGCATTGCTTAGGCAACACAGAGACCAGGGTTCGATCCCTACCCTGCCGTGCCAGCCCCACCAAGACACGCTAAGATGGCAAATGAGACTGGGCATGGTGGCACATGCCTGTAATCCCAGTGCTTGGGAGGCTGAAAACGAAAGGATCACTATGAGTCCAATCTGTGTAATGAGACCCTATAGACCCCGTACTAAATACATTAAAAAAAAAAAATTTAAAAAAGTGCTGCTGAGAAAAACTGCAAGAACAAGTACTATGTGTTCCATAAATCAAGCACAGATGTGAAATAGCTTCTGCATCTATATGTACAAATAAAGCTCAGGGACCAACCAATTAAAAACATGGGAAGCAATGTAACTAAGTCCTGAATGGGACTTAAGAAAAAGTGAGCAAATAATTAGGCTAGAGTATTTAAGGGACATATCATGAATAAGCAGAATAAATACTCAATTCCTACAGACAGGATGAGGACTTTACACATCTCATAGAGTGGAATCAGTTCAGGTGCAGACAATAAATGTTAAATATCTGAAAACAATGAGAAAGCTTTAAACCCAGGCACCTGTGTGTTTCTCACCTTTAGTGGGCTGCATGCAGGAATACCACACATCCTGGGGATTTGCCATATCCCAAAGAAGGATGGGAGGTGGGAGTAAAATAGGGTGACTCAGGGTGCAAATGTCTTCTCACAGTGCTTTAGAGACATCTCAGCAGCACTGATTGTTCATGGCGATTGTTCATGGCCTACAGCAATGCAACCTGTCACCAGCATTGCCACCCCCATCTCTAGTACCAATTTTCCCAATGTACTTGTAGAGATGGTATCCCAGGAAGTTCATGCACTCAGAGACATGTCCAGGAGCTGTTTCTGAGGGAAGGGGGAGTAAAACAGTATAAGGAGCTTTGAGAGATCAGTCTATATTGGATAACTTAGAAAAATCAAATATTGTACAAATTGCTGAAGATAACTTATAAAAGATTAGAATCTAGATCCATCTAACAAGTTCTGAGGAATTTGAGGAAGGAGAAACAATGGGCACAGTTCTTTGAAATGTTTTTGGGGTGGGGACCTTCAACTCATCATGCAGCCCAGGCTGGCCTCAAACTTACAGCAATCCTCTTGCCTCAGCCTCCTGAGTGCTGGTATTATTTCTGGAGGCTACCACATTCAGAAATAATACCAGGAACACATTACTGTTACACTCCACTGTATCTAAAACTATGGAAAAACACAGCAGAACCTAGGTTAAAAGGAATGATATCTGAGGAGAAATGATGATTTCATTTTATTATAGTGAGGATGAACAGAGAGATTTTTGCAGGGTACTCCTAAATTGAAGAAAAACTAAAATGTTGGCATTCACAAACAGGGGAGTCTTTGACCCAGGGGAAAATCAAACAGGAAGTACAGATCTTTAATTCAAGAAACTAGAAAAGTTAACAGGTCTTTGATGAGAAAGAAATGCTTCATTTTAAATTGCACATAAGACACAACTAAAATTGATTTACCTGAGTAGCTGATATCAACTGCTCAGAATAAGCACAGTGGTTTAGAGATTCTAAAGAGTTCCTGAGTCATATTTCAAAGACATCATCCACACCACTGCCCACCTGAGACCAGGCCTCTCATGCTCCATCAGCCTGGTTCTTCCAGACTTACCTGCATGCTGAACTTCATCTCCGGCCCAGGGTTCTTCGCCTTGCTCCAACTTGAAGATGACATCTGGTTTCATGACTGTATATCCTGTTTAGGGGAAAATCACAAATCACAAATCACAAATCAGGGTGTGGACCTGAATGCATAGGTTTAGGGTCTCTAGAGGAGCTCGGGACCTCACTGTTGCTGAGGACAGTCATGGTACTTGTTGTAGAAGCTCTGGTTCTTACCTTGAGCACTGCTTCCTGGCTCCAGTTCAGACCCCTCAGCCTGCTAGCACAGATCCTTCTGATCCTTCACATGGAACAGTGAGGTCCTGAGCTCCTCTACTGATGAGGAAAGCTGAGTTCCCATCAGGAAAGCCAACACAGCAAGCTTCACAAGGTTGAGCAGTGCACCATTTTCCCCTCTGGAGCCAGAATGCAATGCTCAGGATGAGGACCAGAGCTACCCCAAAATGAACCATACATTCTCTGCAACAATGAGGCCCTGAGCTCCTCCAACAAAAACAGCCAAGTGCATCAGGAAAGCCAGCATGACAAGGTCCTTAACAAAATAGCCCAAGAGAACCAGCAGATTCCAACAGCTCCAACAGCTTCTCCAAACAGTGTCCCTAACCGCCTCAGCCAGCTCCCAACAACCTCCGCTTCGTACGCTGCCAGCAACAACCCTCACGTTGGCCTCCCACACCTAGCACCACATTAGTGCAATTCAGCTGTTGTAACAAGTTGACCATCAGTTAACAATCCACTACACCTATCATCAGAACTGTTCCAAAGACTATGTAGGCTTATAGTACAACATGTGTTGTACCACAATTCATGTGCAATAAATGCCACCACAACAACTACTATCACATAGATTCAGAGAATGCCAACAACCTAAAGTTTCATTACTGAAGAGAGCTAAATTCTTTCTGTGAGTGTGGAACTGGAGAATGAATCCAAGTCTTCAAGCACAACATGCTGGTGTTCAATCACTGAGCTGTCTCCCACAACCTTTTTGGTTCTGATTATCATGAAGTCACTCAGGCTGGCCTTGAATTTTCTATTCTCCTCCTTCAGCTTCCCAGGTAGCTGAAATTATAGGTGTGAATCACTGTGCCTGGCTCCAAACATAGAAAGTATTTGAAACAGAAAGTATAAAGAAAAAGAAAAAAAGCTCTCCAAATCTAAGGAACTCTGACCTCCTAAATTTCGATCCAAGTTCATTTAAAATTCTCAGAATCCTACAGCATTAACTCAAACAAAACAAAACAAAACAAAACAAAAACCACTGCATTTGCACACCAAGATATTCATGGGAACCTTTCTTACCCAGCGACACAAGGCTGCTGTAGTTCTCCAACATGACATCCCTGTACAAGTTCTTCTGGTGTGGCTCCAGGAGCTGCCACTCCTTTTGGGTAAAGTCCACAGATAAATCTTCAAATGAGAACGATTCCTGCAAGAACATAGTTCTAATAAATCCAAAGCAGCACTTACAGCATGCTAGGGAAAGAGACCAGAGTTCAGGCCCATGCTCCTCACTACAAGCTACGTAACACCCAGATCCCTGCCTCTGCTCAGTGTCAGGTGATGAAAGGCAACTGTGCATCTTTTTATTTACACAAAACAAGATGGGTGGGTTGTTTTCTGTGAACAACCAGGAAATGAACGAGAGCCTTTACACTGATCTACTTCCCCAGCCCAAGTCAGCAAATCACACAGGCTAGGCTTTAATATGCAATCCTCCTGCCTTAGCCTCCTACAGTGCTTAGATTATAAGTGTGTGGCACCATACCCAGCTATGACTATTATTATGGTGCTGTTTGATTAAACCCAAGACCTCACACATGCTAAACCTGGGATAGGTGAATAAAATCCTAGAACCACCAACAAAGTATTTCCTGACTCTCACATTTGCCATTGGATAATGGCAAAAGAAAGATTAAAAAAAAATTGCACTCAAAAACTGCTTAGTCCTGTAAAGACCACATATTACATAAATCCATTTACATTGCAATGTCTCAAATAAGGCAAATCTATAGCATAAGCACATTAGTAGCTGCCTCAGGCAAAGGGTGAGAAGAGAAACAAACGTCACACAGATTCCTACACAGCAGTGAGCATCTTCTAAAACTGGATTGTGCCAATGGTTATACAATGTAAATTAACATAAAAAACACTAAATTATACATTAAAATGAGTGGATATTATTAAGATTATAATTAATGATGCTGATAAAGATATTACTATGAATAAATTTATGTGAACATTTGACATCTTAGATGAAATATCTATTGTCTTGGAAAACCAATGTGCCCAAAGTGATATAAAAAACAAAATACTGAGCTAGGTGTGTTGGCACGTGCCTATAATCCCAACACTCAAGAGGCTAAGGCAGTAGGATCACCCAAAGTTCATGGCCAGCCTGGGATACATAGTGAGATTGAGGCCACCCTCTATCAAAAAAAGAAAGAATGGATACTGTAACTGTTAAAGAATTGACCCTACAATTTAAAAACTTCCTCCAAAAAAATTCAAGTTCTACATGTCTTCAGTAAAAAATTTTCCAAGCATTTAGAAGATAAATAAAATGATCATACACAAATTCTTTTTTCACTATGTGGTTCAGGCTGGCCTTGAACTCACTTTGTGGCACAGGCAGGCACGAAACTCACAATGATCCTCCTGCCTCAGCCTCCTGAGTGCTGGGATTACAGGTATACGCCACCACACCCAGCTCATAAATACTTTTAGAAAAATAAAGAGTACAAATGTCTCAATCATTTTATAAGACAAGCAGAACCCTGATCCCAAATCTGATGAGGACATAAGAAAGGAACTTTCAGGCAAATAACAAAGAATTAAAATGTCTAGCCATGCATGGTGGTGCACACCTATGATACCAGCACTCAGGAGACTGAGACAAGAAGATCACCTCAGTCCATGTGAAGCCAACGAGTTCAAAGTCAGCCTGGGATACATAGCAAGACCTTGTCTCAAAAAAAAAAAAAAAAAAAGTTAACAAAAATATCAACTGCCAAGCACAGTATTTAGCACCCAAAAGTCCCAGCTAGTCATTTCAGACCAAGCAACTGAGACCAACCTGTGAAAAATAGTAAGATACTGTCTCAAAAATAAAACAAATTAGCAAAATGATCCTGACCATGTGAAAAACATACCACATGGCCTACGGAAATGGGTCTTTTTGTGAGGCTAAATGCAATATTCAAAAGTCAACATAAGCTGGGGGTGGTCACACAGACCTATACAGAGGCTGAGGCAGGAGGATCCTCGTGAACTCAAGGCCAGCCTGGCTACATAAGCAAGTTCAAGGCCAGCCTACACTACACAGAAAGGCCTTATCTAAAAACAAAACAAAACAAAACTGAAATTCAAAACAATGAATCACATAATATAATAAAGAAGCAAAATGTGGTTATCATTTTTTTTTTTTTCAGACAAGATCTTGCTACATAGATCAGGCTGGCCTTGAACTCTGTGTAGCCCAAACTGACCTCAAACTCACAGCAATCCTCCTTCCTCAGCCTCCTCAGTACTGGGATTACAGATATGAGCCCACCACATTAGGCCCACCACACTGGGCCTAATCATTTCAAGAGATGCAGAAAAGATAGGTGGTAAAACACTACCAACAGACTATCTGTCAGAAGGAACATAATCTGCTAATCCTAACCCATAAAAGAGTGCCACCCGGAAGGGTGCAATGCTGATGCTGCCTGAGGCTAGAGGAGTAGAATCTATTGGACTGTTTGGTAGAGACTGATATGTCTATCTCCACACTGCCCAACACGGTAATCCTAGCTGGACATGTCAAAAGCAGCTAGAAAATGACTTTTAAATCTAATTTGAGTAACTTAAATTTCAAGTGCACCTGTAGCTAATAGTACAATCCTATTGCTGTGGGGTAAAAAATGTGTCTGGTATTGTCCTGGGTTCTAGGGACCCCAATGGCAGAAGTACCATCCTATTCACAGTGACCCTTCTGGGTTGATAATAATAAGGTGATGTTGACTGGACAGGTGTAAGAGGAAGATGATCCATGTGATGAGAGGGCTAGGGCTTTGAGCCAGCTAGTATTGGCCCAATTTCAGTAAGGAGAAGGCCTGGAGACTAAGATCAGTCACACAGGTTAATCAACCATGCCTACCCACTAAAGTCTAATAATGATCCTGACACCAGCCTCTTAGGTGGTAAAGACATCACTATGTCCCAGGAATGTGATGTATCCTTTTCCAGGGTAACAAGCTATAAAAGCTACACATTTAGGACCCTCCCACACTTCCGATCCATCTCTTCATCTGACTTGTCCTATTTGTAGCCCATATAATAAAGCAACTGTAAGTATAGTGTTATCCTGGCTTACCTACTCCTAGTAAATTATCTAACTGGAGGTAATCACAACATCCCCCTGAATTTCTAGCTAGTTAGTCCAAAGTGCAGATGTCCTAGAAAACCCTGAATCTACCTCACAACTGAAATATGAGGCAGTTCTGTCAGGGTCTGACCTGAAATAGTGGCCAGCAGCGCACCTGAGCTGCCATGTTGCCCAGTTACCTTGGACACAGCAGGTGAGCAAGTCAAGAAGCTCCCTAACTCTTCCTTTACTCCACACTGCCCTGGAGGTCCTGGCTAGTACCCAAAACACAAGAAGAGAGTGTCAATAGTTAAAGGAAATGTAAAACTGTTCAAATGGTATGACTATATATGGAAAAAAAAATCAAACAGACCCAGGAAACTACTAGTGAAGTGATGGTACTCTCCCTCAGTGTCACCTAGACAGTGTACAGGAAGTCTCCTGCAAAGGTACCGTGCACTAACAGACTGCACCACTGGAATTCCTGGGTCACGTCCTAAGGGTGAGCTGGGACACATAATCTTCAACCTTACTTACGAATTCCTCATACTAGTTTTTAATTTTTTTTTAGACAGATTTCACAATGCAGTTCAGGCTGGACTCAAACTTTCAGTGACTCTCCTGCCTCAGCTTCTTGCACACAATGTTTCTCTTGTAAATCTAATCTATGATATCATTTATTGAGACTTCACTCAAGGAGAAAAAAAAATGAGTACTTATTGCTCAAGAAATACTAATTTTCTATGAGCAGCTTGCTTCTTCCTTTGAATTGTGCAACTTATTCATATTTCTTTCAAAAATGAAGAACAAAGTTTGCAGCTAACATAATAATCATGCAGGATACCATGATTTACATGTAGTATTCAAACTTTAAGAACTTTCCAAGGTTCTATAATTAACGTATCATTCTTCCAAATTAACACCAATCCCAACCTTTTGTTCTGACACTGTTTTCCCAATTTCTTAATCATTCAAACTTTTTTCACTGGAGCATTTATTTATCTCTACTAATCCCCTGGAAAAATAATGAGGATGAACAATCAACTTACTTGTAATGTGGTCATTTTCTGTTGCCTGCACAAGATGACTAGCAAATGTGAGACGTGTTGTGTTCTAGGTCTCTTCTGCTTCTCCCCCAAAGGTGTGGGGTGGTCTTAGCTGGGTCTTCTCCACTGTGAATGAATTTTTGGTCCCAGGAAGCCTGTTCTCATCTCACAGAAGCAGGCTTACTTTTAAGAATCCAGATCTGTGGGTATAAGATAGATACCTTAAACTGATATGTTCACATCACACCTCAATCCTTTTCCTCCCTTGCCAGGAACCTAGGAATTTATGATCATCTAAAAGCATGGAATGCTTACTAGATGATTAAAATTGGCCTCTCAGGAACAGAAGCAAGATGCACTACAATACAATCCAAGTCCCTGTCTCTGCAAACACAGACAGTATTATCACAAATATTTCTATAATTTATTCCATATTTACAGTGGGCTGTATTCTGTACTTAACAGGTGTTATAAAGAAAAGGACAAGTTCATTTCAAATCAATTAAATTTTTCAAAGTTTATGTGATTTAAAACATTTGAATTTCAGTCATCTTTTTTTCTTTACTGGCTATGTAATTTTTTTTTCATTCAAACTTAGCTTCAGATTGAACAGAAAACAATACATGACACACAGGCTCTTCATACCATTCTATACCCTTACCCCTCCCCTCACCCCCATCCCAACTGCCCCATCCCAGCTTTGAGTCTTGTTAAATTGCCCAGACTGAGCTCAACTTGTCATCTACCTCCTTCAGCCTCCTACAGTACAGGAATTACAGGCATACACTACTGTACCTAGCTTTGGATATGTGGTTTGTGGCAAAAACAAATAAATTTCACTTTTCTGAGTCTAAGTTTCCTATTAAAATCTTTTACCTCCTATTTTTCTCTGCCAACATTATTAATTTCTAAAATAAATGAATTTCTATCTTACATATGATTATACTTGGTCAGTTCTTATAATTCTGTGGATATGTGGATTATATGCTTAAGGCTATATGACTATAGGATTTTTTCCCCCAAATTTAGGACAGGTGCACAGGGTATAGAGGATCCACTACATAGACTGGACTCATAGTGACTCTCCTGTTTTCAGCCTCCCAAGTGCTAGGAGTTCGGGCACTCGCCACCACACCCAGTCTCACTTGCCAACTCAGCGCACCCCAGGGAGGGGCCAGCACAGCAGGCCCAGGCATCAAAGACTTGACCCCTGCATCTGCCTAAGCAGGTGCTTTAATCCACTGAGCTATCAGGCCCACCCAAAGATTAAAGGACTTTTTTTCTTGGCTAGCTCAGGCTGCCTTACGGGTGGGTGTGGTACAGCTTGTGGAGCTGAGGTCTGAACTGCAATTCCCTGCACCTGAGTCTGACCAAGCTGGGGCTTTAAACTGAGCTAACCCACAAGCCCCAATTTCTTTCATGTTGTGTAATGAAACTCCATATTTCAAATGCGCTCTGCCCTAAAATCTATTTCATCTCAGGTGGAGTTGGCAACATCAGCACCCACTTAGTATCTGTCCCAAGTATCAACCACCATGCAACTACACTTAAAGCTTCAGCTCCATTGTGTTTGTCTCTCAGAAGCAGCTCAGAACACAAATATGTTTTTAATCCAAAGTAGTAACCTATCTTTACCTGAAAATTCAAAATATTCACAATTATTGTAGAATTACACCGTTTATTATTTTTTCCTTTTTTCTTGTCTTCTGAGCCTCTATTTCTTTATTGCTAAGTGGTGATGATAAAGTAGACCTCAGTGTGGGCTCTGGAGGGAAAATGAGACAGGCATAGTAAGGAGACTGGTACCTTGTAAAACATGTAACAGCTAACATATGAGGAACATACCAAGTTCTTTTATCATCACATATAACACAAGTCATCTAACACATAGCCATTTTACAGAGAGAAAACTGAGACTTTGTGATTTAGCATGCCTCTGATTACACAGCTATTAAAATAACTTTCTTTTGCTGCTGTGTGTAAGGTATTTGCTAACAAGACCACTGTATGGGGGCCAGCGAGATGGCTCAGTAGAATATGCACTTGCTTGGCAAGCACAAGGGCCTGAGTTCAATCCCTAGTTCCACCAAAAAAAAAAAAAGGAAAAAGACCACTGTAATGTCATTTGTGTATAAACACACACACCATATAAATTCTAGAATTAGCTCTCATTTTCATGTACACATTCTGTCACTTATTCCACAATAACAACAAAGATCAGCCAGCCTAACCCGTCTATCATCTTCAAGAGCACCACTTAACCAAGTTCTTTACAAGCCTTTTTGGGATCTAAACTTCAGTGCTATCTTAGAAACACACTGCAAGGTTTCTCCCAGTTATATAAATAACATTTTTATAGCCTAAATTACGGTAATATCTGTACTTTAAAACAACTGGTAACACAGTCATCATTTAAAAATAACAGTAGTAACTATAAAACTAAAATACTTATAAATTTTTCAAAAGTACACAAGGTAAATAAGAAGTATTACTGCTGATCTTCCCACCTCACATATATCTCACCATCTTAAGGTAACTTTTAAGAGATTCTGAAAGCTATTCTGATAGGCAAATGGGTTCAGTGCCACATACTATTGTTCTCAAACTGAGGCAGGAGGACTGAAAGTACTGCCCCAACATGGACAACTTAATGGCTTACCAAGACCCTCTCTCAAAGTAAAGAGTTGGAGATGTAGATCAGTGTGAAGACCCTGGCTTCAATCCCTAGTAGCAGGAAGAGAAAAACACACACGAAATGAAAGCCAGAGGCATACAGTCACTGTCTATTCTCACTGCTAGGACAAAAAACACAATGTCCCAAGTTAAAGGAGGAAAGGGTTATTTTGGCTCACAGTTTGTAAAGGGTTACCACAGAGAAAATTTATGGCAGGCAGAAGACAGCAAAAGCAGCAAGCAGCAAGTGACAAGCAGAGACCTTTCTCTTCCGTATAGTTCATCCATGCAGCCAGCAATTACAGCAGGTTGCACTCACACCCAGGTGGGGAACCCTTAATCCTAGCCAGGATTATGAAAAATCAGTCAGTATACTAATTTAGTAATCACATGCCCTTGATCCCAGCATGACACATTCTAGATCCAGCCACCTCTGAAAAGCCCAACTCATGACCACCTAACGCTTGGAGAGAAATCTAGACACAAGCTGTGACATACTGAAAAGCTGGGTTTTTTATTACACAAAAAACGCCCCTCTGCTGGTGGCACATGTCTGTAATCCTAGCACCCAGGGAGGCTGAGGCAGGAGGATCCAAGTTCAAGCCCGCACTTAGCAAAGAAGCAAGATCTTGTCTCAAAAATTTAATATGGGGGTAAGGGATTGCTAGAGATACAGTTTAGTGAGAAAGAAATGGGTTCAGTCCCCACTATCTCAAAAACTGAAAGAAGAATGGAAGAAAGCAAGCAAGGGAGGGACGAAGGAAGAAAAGACAAAGGAAAAAGAAAACTCCAAATAAATAAACATGTCTAGAGTATCAATAATCTTTTTTTTCTTTTTCTTTTTGTAATGAGGCGTAAACCTTGGGTTTTGCACACACTAGGCAGGCACTGTACTACTGAGCTATATGCATAGCTCAATAGCTTTCCTGTAGGGAACAATGAAAAGGTAGAAAATACGCAGCACGGGAGTGTGCACCTTTTAATTCCAGCTACCCAGAATGTGCAGGCAAGAGGATTACAAATCTAGAGCAGATACTCTTTTTTCAGTTTTTTTGAGACACAGTATGTAGTTCAAGCTGCTGCTGGACTCGCTACATTTCTCAGGCTGGCCTTGAACTTGAGGTGATTCTCCTCCCTCAGCTTCCCAAGTGCTGAGAAAAAGGTGAGCACCACCACCCCAGCCTGTGGGCAACTTGCCTCAAATGGTCCAAGGATGGAGTTCGGTGCTCCTGGGTTTTATTTCAACTACCCCCAAAACAAAAATAACAAACATATATATATATATATTACATATATGTATATTACAAAGTGAGTTCAATGCATAGTGAGACCCCGTCTCAAAACAAACCCCAATACAAATAAAACATACAAAGACCAAAACAACAAAAAAAAAAAATTACAAATATCATTCCATTTGTCTGTTTTCATTTCATCTCATATTAAGAAAAAGTATGACACTATAAGCAATACAACTTTAGCACTCCAAATACTCCATCAAATAGCCAAATTCACAACTTTATTTTTTTTTTGGTGAGCAGGGCTGGCACGGCATGCGGTGCTAGGGATTGAAGTGCAGTCCCTGCGCTTGCCTAGGCAAGCACATCAGACTGCTGAATTCTCACCAGCCCAACATTAATTTTAAAATTTCTTTTATAATATATTTGGTGACCAGCTGGGCATGGTGGCACATTCCTTTTGAAATCCTATCTCAAAAACACCTGATGATGTTAAGTTTCAGTGAGAACTTGTTAAGAGGAAAGGTTTAATTGGAAATGAGATTTATTACACGGAACAACAAAGATTGAGAATTTCTGTGAAAGCAATATAATAAACAATCAGTATAGTTTTAAAATTGTATTTTCTTTTGTTTGTTGGAGACAGGATCTCACTATGTAGTTCAGGCTGGCCTAGCACTCACTTTGTAGCTCAGGCTGGTCTTGAACTGGAAATGATCTTCTTGCCTCACCCCCACCCCGCCACACACACACACACACACACACACACACACGAGTGCTGGGATTACAGGTATACACTATCATGCCCAGCTTAAAAACATTATCGATGATACTTAAGTTTGCTACTAAGAACAAAGACTTTAAGCCTGACCTCACTGAAAATTGTTTCTGGAAGCTGGTCTTCTGTTCAGCCTCCTCTGTCCCCACAGCAAATTGAAACCTAAGCCCTCACCATAGAATTTGGGTTTTGTTTTTTTTTAACTTTACTGCGTTTTGTTTGTTTGTTTACCTTGGCAGTTTTCTGTACATTGCAAAAGCTCTCTCAGAGATGACAGGACAATTTGTACTAGCATGCCAAAGTTCAATTTATGGTCAGGCTCTAAGGGAATGTTATAGAAAAGTAGAGAACTAAAATGTATTTATTTGGGCCCGAGAGATGGTTCAGTAGAATAAGCGCTTGCCTGGCAAGCATAAGGGCCTGAGTTCAATCTCTGGTTCCACAAAAAAAAAAAAAAAAAAAAAAAAAGGCTAGAATGTATTTACTTACCAGTTGTCATGTGTAATATACTACATTTGGGGAATGTGTCGTAGGAACTCAATCTAGGAATGCTATACCACTGAGCTTCATCCCAAGCCCTTTCTCAAAATTTCAATACAAGGACATATGAAGTTGCCCAGGTAGCACTCAAACCTTCCTCAGTGCTGAGATTTACAGGTGTGTACCATGGCACTGGGTTGTCTTCTTGAACATACCAACACCCAGCACAGAAGAGCAGTATCAGGGAATAGGTTAGGCAACCTCCCAACATCTGTAACAAAGTCAGGAGTGTCACAACCGAGCCCCTGGACTCCCAGTGGCCCGGGACCACTTTCAAGACTAAAGTCACAAGTGTACAAAGGCTTTCAGTGTTCCTGCTGACACCTCCAATACAGGGCAACACAGTCCCCTCCAGAACTGATAACGACAGGAGAGTAAGAATAAGCCCAAGAGAGAAAAATAAGTTATCAGAAACCAGGTGAAAAAGTCTCCAGATGAGTTTACATTTCCAGGAACAAAATTATTTCAAGTTAAGCAGCGATGCTAATAATACAATATAATGATCTAAGCAGCATATTCTTAAAGGAAATACGAAAGGGTAAAATTATTTTTAAAATACACGTAATTTCAAAGAGGAAAGTACCAAATGCTGAGACCTCCTGTCATCGCATCATAAGTGATGCCTATTTTAATTTGTCCATCAAGGTGCTGCCCACTAAGCACACATTTTAAATGTCCTAATGGGTAACATTATACACTCTGCTTTTTAAATTAAGTCCTTAACCAACAAAGAAAAAAAAGTGAAGTTTCAGATCAACACCAAATGGTTGAAAAGAAATAAAGTACGTTTTAATAACATCAAAATGCTTTCCTCATTTTCAGAAGAAAAAGGATGACATGCCTTCAGCCCCATGCTAGCTCCAGCTTCGTTCATTAGTTCTGTGGGTCGCAGGCCCGGGAGAGGGCTGGAGGGAGGCGCGGCCCGCGGACCCAGGAGAGCACCGATCCCCGCTGGGCCGTAAGGAGCCTCAGCCAGAACCCCGTGCAACCCTTGGGCATCCCGCCCGCCAAACGAGGGGCAGCTCGAAAACAGCCTGACGCGAACTACCAACCCCGACCCGCGCCAAGCAGCCTAGCACTCTCACCTGCCGGGAGGAAGACAAAGACCAAGAAAGCTGTGTGCGCGTGCGCAACAGAAGGCAGGCGCAGGAGAACTACCACTCCCAGCGACCCACGCGGCGTCACGTCCTGATGACGCAGAAAAAACTGACCTCGCGAGCGAGCGAGTAACGAGTGCGGGGGAGGGGTCGAATGACCTTTTTAAAAACAGGCTGCCCAGTGCGGTGGCACACAACCTGGGCAGTTTAGAAAACGCTGTCTGAAAATTACCAAAAGTGTTGGGGGTGGGGGTGTATATAGCACTAATTGATTTGAGACAGGGCCTTGCTTTGTTGGACCAAATTAACCGGTACCCTCTTGCCTCAGCCTCCTGAGTGCTGGGATTACAGGCAAGCACTAACACACCTAGCTCAGATGTTTTATTATTAATGTACAATCCACGCCCTAAGCAAAATTT